ATGCAGATAAATTATGTTTATAAAATGAAATGGATTTACGAAAGATAAATCAATTTCAATAGTAATTTGCCATAATTAACCAGCTTGAGAATCATATTCCTATGCAATTCTATATCAGCTGCCATCATTATGAAGACTCTAATTGCTTTTGTTTTTATCAACAACCAAAAAACCTTGATAAGCACAAAAAATGCAAACAAAACCCGTCTTTGCATAAATTTGTGAATCCAAAAATCTTTATCTTCGATAGTACAAAACTGTGATTTTGTTATTATTTGTTTGTATCATGTGATAAGCTAATGTCAACAAATTAGATTTTCATCAAAATTCGTTGTGAAATCTTTAAGTTACCATTTATCCACTAGGCCATTCTTTTAGACTATATTTGATTTATGTTTTTTTTCTCCTAGTGGTATACAATGTGATATTTTTGTAACAGTAAAATTATCAGAAACATTCATTTTATTAAATGTTAAATTTTACAGTATTATTTTCGAACTAAATAGTACATTCCTATGTATTCAGTAACCCATTTTTAATTATAGACTTGTATTATCAAATTCTCATGTTAATATAGAACTGACTTACAGAATATGACAAGAAGACTTTTCTACAAATAATTAGTCAACTTCATTGAACTGATGTCACATGAAAATTAATTAGATGAAGTGAATAAATCTATAAACATCTAGGATACATACTTCACAATTTATTACTTCATATAATTACTTACTTATGCCTGTTACTCCCAATGGAGCATAAGCCGCTGACCAGCATTCTCCAACCCACTCTGTCCTGGGCAGAGGACAGGACACAATCTTATATAACGGTGATTGATTTTTTTATAAGTAAAGTAAACTATACAATGTTAACTACTGAATAACTCATAATAGTTGCTACTTTAAAAAGGAATCCTCAGTATATGTAAATAATATGTAACTCAATCCATGACCTGTTTTTTTCATCACTTGTTTAAAAGATTTAAAGTACATATTATCTATCTAGTTAACGTTTTGTATGTTGAATGAAATTTAAAACAAAATATGTGCTAATTAAATAATGTTTTCAATTTAAACTCATATGAAGAAGTCATATAGTATACCTCCGTAAAGCATTGATGACTTGTTTAACAACATTAATTTGCTAAACAATATGACACTGCATTGATAAAAAAATTCTTGAATTCACATTTTATTTCTGTTACTCCTTCCCTTTAAGGTTTTATTTTAAAGAGTTTAAAGTATGATAAATACAACATTTAAGATTGTGTTATTTATTGCATGTTCATATTGTGGTGTGGGTTACTTATATCCACACAAGTACTATATAACGGTGGCCAGGCATAGAATGTATTTCAGTGGAAGGTTGATGAGGAAAGAACGAGAACGGAACGCAATTGGTATGAAAACGCATGAACAATGAAATCTGAGACAATGGATTGATGTCCACACCAGAAACACTCAAGTTTGAGATGATGGATTGATATTTTGCAAATTAACGATTTACTATATGGTTCTCAGTTTTTATCGAGATGCTCTGTAATTTCGTGTCAAATATATTTGATTGTCCCCACTGTTGTTCTTGTTCACTACAATATCAGCATCCAATTCTGCAAACATAATCAATGTTAATAACTTAGTTTCGTTTTTAGTTATTAATGTGCGATTATTCTATACCATTTTTTTCTTGAAGAGTAAAACAATTTGATAACAGTCTCCACAACTAAGGGAAAATATTTTAAATAATTGACCTCTAAGAAATAGCTACTATCATGCTACCTGGTTCATAATCTTAATCAAATCCCGTCTACCAATTTGGAAAGCGGGTACTAAGTTAAGTCACTAGATAGCTCAGTAAACTTTGTTCGGTATTATTTAGTTTAAGCTGCTAACAAGAAGTTAAGAACACAAGTTTTTTGGTGGTTACCACTCGATAACAAGATGTAAATGCAATTCACTGGAAACTAGTGTTCGCTATGGAATACTGATTTATATTATCCACGGTCAAAGTCCTAGATGTTACAAATATATTTACCTCAATAATAATAGCTAATAGAAATGAGACGCACATAATAATTAGTCGCTTAGTAATAATACAACTCCAAATTCCATAGGGAACACCAGTTCACCGAAGACTGTAAATACTTCTTACTGATGAACGATAATTAACACGAAACCTAAATCCAGGCATTCCCTCTAACTGCCTTCAACCTTTTCACATTAAGCATAACGTATATATTTAAAGTGTACACTCAATAATTCTGAAATTAATCAAGCTAATTTACCTGTATTTAAACGTATTACATACTTTTTAATGAATTGGCTAGAAATAACTTCTTTTAGGCTAACTGGTAGCTGATATAACATATACATATAACTATCAAGAAATACTGTATTCACTGTATTGAATAAACAAATTTAAAAAATATATTCATTATTTATCAACAATAATAATAGTGTTATTTTATTTAAATCAATATATTTTCTATCATTTAATTATCTGACTTTAATCTATGGCACCTCAAGTCATGCTTGAAGGTACTTTGAATTACAGAAAAACGTGAAGAGTAGCGTGAGCATAGAAAGCTGGAACGGAGAAGAACAAGAGAAAAGAAATAAGCCGATGAATCTACTCAACACAAATTTAATTTCTGTCTCATAGATACAATTTGAAATTTATGTTATTACCCTTTAATAATACTGTAGTCGTTGAGAACTCAGTTGGAGACAACCAATTTATAATCTTACACGAATTTAGTAAAATATGAGAAACATACATCGAATACTTTATTTGCAAATTTCCAACATTTGTCCTTCACATTCTGTATGATTCTTCCAAGTCACAATTATTTTCTATTTTCACTTCAACTGGATCTTCTTAGCCTCCTTCTGTCAGGTTTTTCACTTCTGATTGGTGCTACATACTACTTATGTCTGTCAACCTAAGTAGCATACACCAGAATACAAGCAGTTATAAATTGTATTTCATATCATAACATGATTTAAAGATAAAATCTTGAATTGTATTAAGCTTCGAAACTTCTGTTTTAATGTTACAAGTCCAGTGTTTTATCAATCAGGCTACGTGACGTAACAGGCAGGTAGACTTAAAATTGGTCTGAATGACCCAGTAGTATAATTGGTTATAATCTAAAAACAAAGCACATGTTTAGTCACCTTTTATTGAGTGTGATTCTTAACCAGAATTTTTTGATCACTATTTACATTGATTAATATTAGGTGAGTAAAAAGCTGGTAAACATTGGTTTTCTTACCAATATTTAGCTGAAAATGAAACGAGAGATGATAATTAATAAACCACTAGTTCTTTGACTTCAGAGTAAATTATACATATAAGTAAGTTATACCCACCCAACATTGTAGGGGAAGTCTATGGCCCTTCAGAAAAAAGAACCCTGCGAAGAAAGTGCGACTAGACACTGAAGAAAGCAAAGTAAAAGTATTCATTTTAGTTCATTTTTTAATGTGTATTTAGGAATTATAGAATCAGTAGTGTGGCGAGATCAACTTAACCCGCACTACGTAGCGCTGATGAACTATTGATGAGTTCACAAGTGGAGAAACATGGAACTTTCCCCAAGTATTCTGTATATGCATATATTTAAATGCAGATATTAAAGATACGTACATTCCAGTGATATACATATAAGAATAGATGGGCGCAGTTGGTATTATGCGTTACATGCAATTCTAGAATGCTCAAACAAGTCCACTCATCCCACAAGTACGCATAGACATAGAAGTTTTTGCTAGCAAGTATATGATATATGCACACGTAGAACGCATAATCCGAGGCGCATGCACTCCAAAGGATACACATAGGTATGAGTCCAACCACCATAGGCCGTATCCCAGCAATGTTTTCACTGAAAGAGTATCGAGTACTCAAATCAGTATATTAATAAGTCATCATAGACGATGTGCTCACTACACGCTCACACCAAAAGCAGGTTCAATGTCAATCCCCGTACATTGTTTACAGCACAGTTTATGGCCTACACTTTGGCCTTCTACTGCCAGACCTTATGAGCCCTTCCAGACAATGTGCGATCAGGCACCAAAAAGGAGTTTTCTCCAGCGCCACAATCGCACTCTTTATCCAAAGTTAACATCCCCCTCTTGTAACCAGAATTAAGGGAGAGTGGGCGATTAACCCTATCTCCACCTGGCATGTGAACAGTTGGTGGTCAGTCAGGTCTCTGTGCTGCTTGTGTTAGTTCATGGAAAGAAAGATCACCCACTATCTAGGGGGCACTAAGTGGAAGTGCTAGTCGAACTTTGCCACCCCATATATATATATATATATATATATATATATATATTACTGACCAGCTGACTTTTAACTTAATTCTCTTAGATAAAATTTTTTATCCAGAATAACTGTTAAAAACTGATTAAAAGAGCTTTAGTAGACCACTGTCAGATCAGTAGATAAAAATTAAAAGAAGTTCACCAACAACTCATCAAAAAACAAGTGGAATTTACTAAAATGTATATTTGAACAATTAATTCCTTGAATTAGGTAATTAACAAAACTCTTTTTCATGAGAAGATTATTTTCATTAATGTCTTCCGTCAACTGGAAAAGGATCACTAGATATTTAAGAGTTCTGCTAAGTTGATTAACTCCAGTTAGAAACTCTTAAACAGTGGAAAATACGAAACATAACTAACGTCTATGGGTAATGGATATAAATCTAAATGTAACAGTCATTCTCTGCTTTCAAATGTCAACTGGTGGTGAAGACCATTTTTAAACGAATCTTTTATTAATTTCGTAGATCTCTAGTATGTAATGCAATGACGGATTATATGCAGTTTCACTTGATATCTTAAGACAAAACAAATTGAAGTATTGTTGAAATGCAAAAATATTGTGAATTATGTGAAGCATTTATTGCCCTATTTCAATATGTTTTCTCATTTATCTCACCGTACGATCAGTTTGATTTTACTGAGACATTGTCAAATGTTAAGGTCCTAAAAATATGATGATGATGATGATGATGATGATGATGATGATGATGATGATGATGATGATGATGATGATGATGATGATGATGATGATGATGATGATGATGATGATGATGATGATGATGATGATGATGATGATGATGATGATGATGATGATGATGATGATGATGATGATGATGATGATGATGATGATGATGATGATGATGATGATGATGATGATGATGATGATGATGATGATGATGATGATGATGATGATGATGATGATGATGATGATGATGATGATGATGATGATGATGATGATGATGATGATGATGATGATGATGATGATGATGATGATGATGATGATGATGATGATGATGATGATGATGATGATGATGATGATGATGATGATGATGATGATGATGATGATGATGATGATGATGATGATGATGATGATGATGATGATGATGATGATGATGATGATGATGATGATGATGATGATGATGATGATGATGATGATGATGATGATGATGATGATGATGATGATGATGATGATGATGATGATGATGATGATGATGATGATGATGATGATGATGATGATGATGATGATGATGATGATGATGATGATGATGATGATGATGATGATGATGATGATGATGATGATGATGATGATGATGATGATGATGATGATGATGATGATGATGATGATGATGATGATGATGATGATGATGATGATGATGATGATGATGATGATGATGATGATGATGATGATGATGATGATGATGATGATGATGATGATGATGATGATGATGATGATGATGATGATGATGATGATGATGATGATGATGATGATGATGATGATGATGATGATGATGATGATGATGATGATGATGATGGAGTTAATGTTTTCACTATTTTTACCGAATTGACAAGTTCGCTTATTTGAATATATTTGTTTGTGATAAATATTTCAAACATACATCAATCTAAATAAAAAACTCAGTCAACCACTCATTGTGTACTTTCAGAAATCCAATTATTTCTATATTTAGAATGAAATAATCATTAAGTTTTCTTTTTTCTTAGTTAAAAGCAACAATAAACTCATTAAAAAAATAAATGCATCCTTTGAAACTCATATTGAAAATTTAGTAATCATAATAAATAAAATCAAAAATGAGCTGTTAAACTGTATTTTTATTTATTAGTCTGATCACATAAACTACGCATCATCTGTGTGTAAAACTCCCTATTGACTCATTCAACGTAATTTGTAGATTTCTGTCAAAAAATCTATTAAAACAGAATAATAATAATAATAATAATAATAATAATAATAATAATAATAATAATAGGAGAAAAATATAGTTAAGGCGCATAGCATTGGATGACATTCATTGTAATCCCCTCTTTCTTTGTTTTGAAGGGAGTTTTGATGATCCTAGATCCATGAAGTTCCCATCCTATAAGTGCTTTTTGTACTTGTTTGGAAAGCATCAGTGCAATTCCTTGTGTATGTGAAGCATTTTCTTCTTCATGGCCCTGAATCTAGTCTTTGTTGTCCAACGTGCGTCCGATGTGTTTCACTGATTCCAAGCACCTTAAGGTTGCATTTTTTCATTTCTGCAGCAACTTGGATGACTCTCCCGGTCTCCTACATTGTACGAACGTTCCATTTACCTAAATTAGTGGTTGCTTTGGTCGTCGGAAGAAGCATCAGCCTCGCGACTTCCGAAGGAACTCGGCTTCCATTATGAGACGTCATGACTCTTCTAAATGAAAACCTTCTGACTTCCAAGGCAAAGTTTAAGTGGTTTGAACCATTTTTAATGGTTAACGTTTTTTAGAGAGTTAGTATTCTACGATACAAGATTGCTAACCCCATGCCCAATCCTCCTTTTTGTTCGTGCTTGGGACCGGCAGTAGCCCCAGAGTGGCTCCAGGTGGAGACAGACATAAGAAGAATGAATAACAATTGTATAGAACTAGGAAGGAATGCCCAAGACAGTGTGGGTTGGAGAATGATGGTCGGGAGCCTATGCTCTATTGGGAGTAACATGCATAAGTAAAGTAATTAAATATAGTTAAATATCTAAATGTTGGATGTAATATATGTAGAAAAATATTATTTAAAAAATCAAATGATCCCTGATATATTTACTTAAAAAAGAACTAATTGATTTTACTGACACAATCAGTGGTTTTGTTATAGATCGTCAAAACATCATAGATTTTGTACATTATTCAACATAATCAGAGGTTAATTTTTGACAAATTATGCTTTTCTTAAAATGTTTATCTTAAATGATTATGTAATCATCGAATTTTTTAATCGTTTTAAAAACAACCATGGAAAGCATGTATTTCATTTGAAATTTGTCATATAATGGTAAGTTAAATGAAATACATATTTCATATTACACTGGATAATGATCGTGCTAATATAATAGACCATATGCTACTAAAAATGCAGACGATAAAGTATCAAATTGGTGTCTATCGGTTGTACACTGATCGCAAGATCTAAAAATTCACAGTTCCATTATGGAAATGAATGTTAGTGTGAACTGTAGATAATTCACAAACTATAACGGAATGGATCATTAATAGATACTCCTTAAGCTGATATTAATAAATGGTAAAAACTATATTCGATTATCAAATGTGATTTACGTAAATTATTAATGAAAATTATGGAAAAAGAAAACTATTATTATTATTGGGTACTCTCATTAATCCGAAATTTCGGATAAATGTGTTATATTAAGCAAATGATATAAGATTAAACGTGTGTGTGTGTCTACTCAGATTTTTTAACTAAATTGTAACTTAGATGAAATAAGAGGATTGAGTTCTGTTTACCTATTTACTTGGGTAAAGCTAACAAGATACTTCAATAAAAGTTATTAAAAGTGATTTTTAAAAGTATTTCACTTGCGTCTACTTATCAACTTTTCACGAGCTGATTCTAAAACTCAGCTCGTAATCTCCATATAGTCGTTTGATAAGATTATCTGAAATAACCTCAGGCATCCACTAAACAATTCTAGTACGTGTGTTTACGTGAGTCAACGCGAAATATGTTGAAATTACCTACAGGGATGTCTCACCACTTATTATAAACAGGGTTATCAAAATGATAATAAATTTCAGTTAACATTCTAAATAATCCGATATTCTCAACAGATCACGATCTCTGTTTATCCGACCAAGCAATCAAAAGTTATGTGCAAATGATCTAATCTTTGTGAACTCAATTACAGTCTCAAACAGAAGGTTGTCATATAATTAGTCATTTTTTTGCACTTTGTAAATACATTTCTCCAACAAGTAGATTATTCAAGACCGATAGAATGTCTCAATTATATTTCATTAACTAACGACATCTGAGTTGATCTACTGTACATCACTATTATTAGAATGATTTCTGAGTGTGATTCAATTCACCAACGAACAGCCAATCAACTGTTTCCTCATTTGAATGAGAGCCGAGAAATGGTAACTTGCATTTAGGGTACTTTTAGGAACCGTGTTTTTAATCTGAATGTTATATCAAATATTAAAACTACAGACTGACAGGTGTTCGAGATATAACCTTGATTCAAATTGTTTAATAGTGACTGAATGTTTTGACATACATTCACTGCGGCTTCTTTACATGTGACATACTAAATTCTATTTGTATTGGTTGATATTTGCTTGTTTTGGACACTAAGGATTCTGACTGAAAAATGTAAATCCAAGGCAGATTGCCTCGATATCGCTATTTAGTCATACGCTTTTAGTACACTAGGATATTGGTTTGAAATAGAATACAAGATGCACGTTTCATCTTACTTAGAGTCATCAGTTGAATTTTCCTATATCCCAATGTTGATATCCACTCTGGGACTAAAACCTAGTACCTTTCGCTTCAAACACCAACGTCTTATCCAGTGAATACCTTAAATCTGTCTAGAGTAAGCTGAATAGAATAAAACACTCTACATTTAAATATTACCAGTATAAAGTTAAAATTACTTTTTGAACATTCACGTGACAAACTGATAAATTCAGTGTAAAAGAAACTATTACATACTCAAACCTGCTACCTCTCCTGAGGCGCAGGCAGCCGAACAGGAATCTCCAGCTAACTCGGACCTGGACACTCCTGCTCTATGGTTGTCAAGTCATATTTATAGTCTTAATAACCTCCTGCAAATTCATGTCATATGTATTATTTAGCCTGCCTCTTTTTCCTCCATCCTGAAGATCCCAAGTTAGAGACTGTCTTATGGTGAGCCTCCAGAGAACTATTTTAATTGCTGATTTGTTCGCGTTTGCAGTTCACTACTGCCGATGATCTCAGGGTAATGAATCTGGAGCATCTTGCGTAGACAACTGTTTATCAATACCTATACTTGCTTGGTGATAATTATGGAAATTTTTCACATTTTAGTTTTGTACAACAGAGCTGTTCTAATGTCAGTGTTGAAAATTTCAACTTTGATATTGTTTGATATTTGTTTTGAGTTCCCAATATTCTTCAGTTGTAGGAATGTGGCTCTTCTTTTTCCAATTAATTCTTTTACACCTTCATCAGATCCTCCTTCTTTATTAACGATTCTAATCAGTATGTAAATGTTTTGATCTCTTCCTGAGTTTCGCCATCAGACGTGATTTAGTGTATGCCTGTGCTGTACTTCAGGATCTTACTTTATCCCATATGAGTCCTGAAACCTACTTCTTCATAAGCTGCCTCTACACTGGCTATCATTGTTTACATTTGTTGTTGTTTATGGGTTAGAAGTGCTGATTAATCTGCATAGTTCAAGTTATTCGTTTGGGTCCAAGGTGTCCGCTGCATTCTACATTTCCCCTAAAATGTAGAGTCTTCATAATCCAGTCAACAACCAGAAATAGAAAACGTGAGAGTAGGCAGCCTTGTTTGATACCAGTTTGTATTTGGGACGCATCTGTGACCTGGTCACCATGCATGACTCTAATTCCTCTCATCGTTGGAGTTCTATGTGATATTGATGGTCTTTATAGATACCCCATAATGTTGAAGCAGACTTTATAAGGTTTCCTACGCAAACTGTCAAATCCTTTCTTCTAATCAGGGAATTTGGTGTTTTCCATTCAGCTGACTGCTCAACAATGATCCACAGTGTCACGATTTGGTCGGTACATGGCTGGTCCTTAAGATAACCAAGTTGTTGGTCTCTAGGTTGAATGTCCACTAAATATTTTATTTAGTTCAGCAACACTGTTGAAAAGTTTGTTCACCACTGATAGTACTGATATCTATCCACAGTTTTCATAATTACTGAGATTTCCATCATTCCGCATCTCGATGTGGCATATCTCTGTCTAATCTGTTAATACTTATTTTTCCACTCGGATCTCTCCAAAGAAAAAATGGGACATCTTTGGATTTACCTACAAATTTGACTTCAATGCCTCAGCTGGTATGTTGTCCAGCTTTGTTGCTATACCATTTTGGATTTATTTGATGGCCCTGACGACTTCCTTGATCGTTGGTGCGGTAGCATCTATAGGCAGGTACGTACGTGCTTCTCTGATATCCTGTGAGTTCACTGAGGCTAATCTGTTCAAGGCTCTTCAAAGTGTTCTATCCATCTATTCCACTGCTCTTAAACTCAGGCTTCTTGGTTGTGTTATAAGGTTCTTCAATATTTCGTTTTCCTGAAACTTCTGTAGTTGGCAAGTATTCGATATACTTGTTTGTCATCCCTAATACCCTTTCTTTCTTAGATATATTTAACCTGTGCCTGACTACAGTCTCCTTGTTCTAGACTGTCTTCACAAATTCACTCCTTATTCTGATACTTATTAGAGTCAAGCAAATATCAGGATAATGAAGTTATTGCTTCTTTAATCCGTTTACAGTTACTCTCCATAGAATGTGTTAAACTTTTGAAATGGTTCATGTCTAATTATTTAATGCTTCTTTAGCTTTAGTTTTAGCTTGCTCA